TGATCTCTCTTACTAATATACATTTTCACCTATCACATAAAAATAGCAAACTACTGTTCATCTCCATCATATAAGTGTTTGAAATAGTCTTTAATCTACATAATTTCATGTGGTACTGGTACGCTTCTAATACTTGAATAAATACTTCAAAGCATCGTTCATTTTTCCCAGTTAATTGAAGCGTCTTTCTTCCATACAATTAATCTATACTTTTTGCTAATAAAATTAAATGTAGATGGACTTGTGACCATTAGAGTTAACAATCAAAATGACACTTTTTCACCTTTTATAAAATTAAATGAGTGCATTTACACGTCAATAATGTATATAAATGATGTAACGCCTACGTAAATTCGTTTGCTATTTTGCACTGATTCTTCTATCACTTTGCAGTTGGAAAGTATCATGCTGTCAGATGACAGATGTAATTTTATCTACAGTGGTTTAAACAATGCGCTGAGTGCGTTTCCTCCTGAACATTACCAAAAACCCTACAACAATGATGGTAACTAGTTTTAAGTCACCTTGATCAGTGCAGCACTAATTTTTAACCAGAATGTATTTCCAGTTTTGTTTTTAAAAATTTATTTTCCAAACAGTTTTATTTTAGCTAATTGAACTATCTTGGAAGTTGAGGTTCGACAGCATTAAGCGCGTTAAATTTGACGAGTTCGTAGGTGAGGAGCTTTCAATCTATGTTTTGCGCTCACTGGGATCTCCTATGTTTGTGTGTATCTGCAAACAAGGCAAAATTACTTCTGTTTCGGTATTTAACACTAGAAAACACTGAAACAAGAATTAGTGTCTATAGTGGATGATGACTCATGAAAAATTCAATAGATTCTGAGGACTTAACGCTTCCGACACCATCGAATGACCACTTCAAGCACTGCAAATATCCTAACTCAGTTTTTATTCATTAGATTTTTAAATAACTACACTTTGATCTTAACATTGGCTGATGTCAGATTGGATATTGAAAAATTCAACTTAGTTACATGATTCCGAAATTAGCCTTCATTGTGACTACCAATATAATAGGTGGTGACTTGTAAAGGCAAAGTGTAATTTTTCTACCTGTATGTGTGTTTAATTTTTCTCCAATCATTGGTTTTGTATAGAGGTAATCTAAGGAGGAAAACACAGGCGCATACAAACGGTTAAACGTATTCGAAATTAAATGTTTTGCTCAACTTGTTTATCAAAATCGAATGACTGAACACAATTTTAAAACTAGGCTGTCCTGTTTCAACTGCCAGTAGTTCACCACTAATTGTTGTAGCCATTTAACGAACGAAATTACTTACGTGATTATTATACATAAATCTAGTGAACAATCTATTTCTGGTTGGAGTGGATGATTTCAAAATTATCATTTATATTAGGTGCATACTTCAAGCAATCTTGAAATTTTCGGTCTATTTTTTTAGGTATCGGTGTCAAAGTTGTAAATCTACACTTATAGTAAATCCGAAATTCTTACCCTTATTCACTGTACGGCATTTTCAAAGGTGTAAAATTCTTTCCAGGTATCAGGTCCTTTGAATGAAAAGGTTCGATGCGTTCACTAAAAACTGCATAAAACAGTTTATAGTAAAGTAAATATTTAATCCTATACCAGTAGGTAATAAGCATGGGATAATACAGAAGAGCGAATGCTGGCCTAAATAGATTAGTACTAGTCACTGAGTTCAGCATTGACTGATGCGAATTAGAAGAAACACCATCTTACTCTTGGCTGTAGACATGCTTTGATGATTAGCGCCAACAACCACGAAAAACAAGTCCAAAGCTTCTAGTAGATTTTCTTCTAACATCTAAATATAGATAAGTATTCACTATGCGTAACAGTAAAATCGATCCTTAGATTTTTCGGAAAGTAATAATTAAATGAAATCACTCGCTAGCTTTTTCCATGTACAAACCGATATACTTTGATATTTCACGAAAGGAAAAACTTTAATAGATCATCAGAAGAGGATGATTATATTTACGAAGGCCATAAATATCTATGATGACAGTGTGGAAATTAATAACTGTAGGAAGTGGTAAAGCAAAATTATGTTGAAGCTAATCCTCTTTTCGTTCATATTTAAATAAATAAGTAAATGCACATATCCTCAGTAAAAAGGTTTTTTTCGGCTATATCATCCTCAGGATATGCATAACCGCATATACGTATAGTTACTGTGCATACTTCTTGGTAAAAATGTCATAAATCGTAAATCAATTGTTCTTAGAGGTTAGTGGCCAATAAAACAATTCAGGAATGGAAGTCATTAAGCAAAAGTGTAAAAATTTGACAACATGAATAGTTGTGAGTTCAAACTTAGAACAGTTATAAACTTGAATAAATGGTAACAAAGTAAGTAGACGCTTGTCAGTGAAGAAGGGAATGAGAAATTATTAAAAGAATTCAGAAGAACACTGACTCAAAAATATCGCGAAAATTAAAAAGGTTAGTTAGGCTTAAGAATAGGAAAGTTCTAAATTAGGAGAGAAATAAAAAGAGTGAGTGACAAATTGGATGCACAACTTTGGTTTCCCTTTAGACATTTCAAGGACCTCAGTAGCGCAAAGTAGACGGTTATATTGTATTTTATAGACTACGGTAAAGGAATCTTACATTCACATATTATTTTTCTGACCGCTAACTAATATAAATTACTCATTGGCAAGTTTAAACATTTTTTTTACTAATAAATATGCAAAATAATTACATTTGGAAGCGGTTATGCAGCTGCTCAGCGTAACATTCCCTAAAAACAATCCGTTCGGTGATGTCTTATATATATATATATATATATATATATATATATATATATATATATGGGTAGATAGGTAGATAAGACAAGATTCTGCACTAAATATATGACATTTTTAGGAGATATGTAAAGCTGACCTGGCCTGAACTTATTCGATCATTCATTTGTTCAAGAGGAAGAAGACGCAATGTTAATCAGGATTCTGAGCAGAAAATACAATTGGTAAGTAAATGATTTACTTGATATGAATATGTAAGGGTTTTATGACACGATATTGTACTATCTGTTAGAGCAAGACATACATAAACCTATAAAAATTAATACATTTTGCCTCTTTTGACTAAAAGACCTCTAAGATCATCTGCTTTGTTTGCTATGAGGTTATATCTTACTTATCCTATTCAAAGACAAAAAATTGGAAGTTTCAAAATGCCAGTGACTGTATTTTGTTATCAATTTAATAATCAATGATAATATTGTGGTTCTATTCCTCATACTCAGACTAAAAATAGGATTAAATTGGCAAGATTTCTTCTTTATCATGAACATTATTTGTGTAATTCACCTGACTTAAAGTAATCCTGATAAATTCAGTTACTTGAATTACCCCATCGTTGATTGGACCGAATTGATCGATTTCTATTGGCATTTAAACTCCTTCACGGATGTCATGATATTGTCTGTGTTTGAGTCATATAATAATGGTGGAAAGACGCTGATAGTGGGATCCTAGGTGCACATTTCGTCCCACATAGGACCCGTCAGCTGGATGTATCTCCCTTACAGCGAGCGATATTGTTCCCCACCGGGACTTGAACTAGCGACCGATAGCTTCAAACTCCAAAACGATATTCGCTAGACCACTGAGTCGCAATAGTTACTTCTTGTGCGACGGGTATAGTTTTAGTGTTGTTAACTGTATTATCCCGTCACTGACTGGACTTAATTGAGTCCTAGCGGGAAAAACACTAACCACTCACTAGCAGGCAGGTATATCCAGCTGAAGAGTCCCAAACAGGACGAAATGCGCGTTTTTGATTCAACTACTAACCACCATCCATCATTAATGTATGACCGTAAATAGTATTTGTAGAAAAAGGAATTCTTTGTTCAGGGAAAGCCATTCCTATTTCTACTTTATAGATCATTAGTTACGAATCAGTATCCGAGCAAGTTTTTCATACAGTAATTTGGCAGAAAATTGAAGTTTGTGTTGTGTCCGTAAAACAAATGTTATTTACACGAAATCCGCACGACATGAAAGTGTAAAATTCAAAGTGTGGAATGTAAATAACTTTGTTTCCTGGAAGTTTCTCGTTTCAATTTTCGCCAGCTAGACTACTGACTTTGGAATAGTCCAAGTGACAGATGCTTTTAGAAACGAAATAATTTAATAAGTTTGGTGAATTAGTCTAACAGCAGTTTCATAGCATAGCGCAAGCAGATTTGATTAGTTCGTTAGTTAGAAATGTGGTTTCACTGAAGGATAACTTCAGTATGCTGCTTCAATTACTTCAAAGGTAGAACCTAAAATCCTCTGCTACCTTGATGAGGTGACTCGTAGGTGAGTGGCATCATACGAAAAAGCTGATATTAAGCAATAAGATTGAATGATATTAGGACCATTGAGTACAAAACTGAAGACTAAAGGATTTGTACTCAAAGGTGTCACGTTTGTCACAAGTTTAATATTAGAAAAATCAGAATACGCTCACAGTTCAGTAGGTATAAATTAAGATACTTTTGACAGAACTCCGGAAATACTGCGAAATTCGTGACTCAGAAGCCTTAATGTTAACTATATAAGTAGATTACAAAAAAGTAACCTCTGTTGTAATATTGTCTTCATTCATAAGTGGCTTCAACGAACTGACAGTTTTGTTCAACATAATAAAAGATTGAAGATATTACCTATTTGGAGATACTCGGTATGAATTTAATATCAATGACCTCCATGACGTTTGACATCGAAGATGTATCTAGAATGTCAGAGAAACCTATCATAATTTTGCAGTCCCATGTTGCTGCTTCAAATGGTTTTAGCAAGCTGTAAAGATCAAGTAACTTGGATTCACTTTGTTCACAACGATTTTAATTTTCATGATGTTGAGGATGATTACAGTTTATTGCCTAAAACAGGTTTCAGATACTAATTCAAACTTTTTCCAGTAATTGTGTTTATCAACTGAACAGCACATGTGAAAATAACTATGAGTAAATTGTGCGCTTACTAACCTTTTCAAAAGACGACTGACATTCCGAATGAGGCAAAGATATTGAATAGGGTTGCTTGTTTTCAGCTTCAGGAAACTCGAAAGTTTCACCAGAATTATTTATTCTCTTTTTAGGGAAATATTTTATCACAGATTTTTTCCGTAAACTATTCGAAGATCTACAAAATTCAGGTGTTGACGCCTTTGGTCGGAATAAACTTTGATATTGTTGATTGTATTGTACACTGGATACTGAAGGTGTAAATGGTTTTCGAGTCTGAAGATCTTTAATTATACGACTAGCATTTTTAAGTTCATCAATAATTTGTGTATCACAGTCGTGTAAAACTCCCTGGAATTAAATAAATCAATGAGTAGAAACAAGAATATGAATATTTTGAAAAGTGCATCATGCTTCAAACAATAAACTTACGCAATTCTATTGTACGCTAAAAGTGATGAGTTTAATGCAATAAAATTCCATGGTAGATCGACTACATCACAGGCTTCTAGTGATTCCGCTACTATCAGTATTTGTTACGATGACAATAATGTGAGTTTCATGGTATTTCAAACTTGTCAACTCTATTTATATCTAAGATAACAGTCTCAGAATGATCAAATTTAAAGTAATTTATACAGAGCGATAGATATTCGAATGAATCCATTACCAGTAGTCGCATATTTAATTCAGACTTCATTCATGCATTTTATTGGCATATACGTATTATCCTTTCGTTTCTTTCAGTTTGGTTGTTTATCGATGCGGTCAATAGTTGAGATGAGTCAGTGAGATACAAAATCTCTTAGATAGTAGATGTGAACGTCAAATGGCTGTTATAGAAAACTGCTTCTGCAACGACGATCTTGAGAATTTATCGACCAGTATACAAGTGCATAATGTTCGTTTTCATTTGTTATCTTTACTTTTAACAGGATATGTAAACTCATATGCAAATACTAAACTACTTGCAAGGCAGGAAGGTATGCCTGAGCTTGTTAGTCTGTCGTGGACAATTAACAGGAAGCCCTGAACCTTGCTTTCATGATTTTTAGAACTACTCAGCAAGACTTACCAGCAGTTTCAAGGGAACTGATGTCCCCTCTGAGATCGAATCAGTTTCATCCAGTGTTACAGTCAGCGGGCTGCATTTGACCTACCGTAGGACTGGGTTAGATGCATTATTCTGTCACTGAACAGAAACCAACTTCATGTTGTCTAGTGATGATTGTTAACCAAATTCTATGTTTAGGGCTTCCTGCCGACTTATTTCAATCAACTCACAGCTATTAACGTCTACGGCGATGATGAGCCTCTTATCTTGGTAGCCGCATTGCGAAATAATTGATAGAATTCGGCTAGCACTCAGGAATAGACGATATGAAATTGTTTGCTCACCAGCGATCAATGAGTGTAATTTTCTGGAACTTAGAAATCTTTTGTCTAACGACAAGTTGACCGTTTCTTTTAATTGTGGAATTATTTAACGAAGCTCAGGTAGCTTGAGAAACTGTTGATGCAATACTGACCACTTACTTTTATTTAAATTCGATTGCGCAACATAAATATTATGTTCTATGTGAGCAGACAATTTTAATATGAAAATTGTGTTATGCTTAAGCAGCTGTCAATAGACCTTAATATAAACTTAATGCATACTATTGCAACTCTGATCTTGTTCTCGCTCTTTTTAAATATGGAATCAGTTTCAGTCATTTCTCAATACTTGTTTGGGCTAAAATGTCATTATTTTAGACTTGATGTGATCAGAAGCAATGTTTATATTTGATACTTGGATTGCTTTCTTACTTAGGGGCTTGAATACTGGTATCTCAGTTATCCCACTTGTAATTGGTTTTTAAGTTTGATTCAGTCTAACTTCGACTAGCTATCAAGTTTCACATATGTGGTATAGAGAGCAGAAGAAGATAGTTCATGCATATGGAATTCGGCAATTAAACATTTGAACTGGTCTAACTTCTTTTACATGTGATCCAGCTGACTGTGTTATATAAGTGCTTACATCTGTGGGACTGTTTCAGAAAGGTATTGTGCATAATGTTTCTGCATAGTGAATTTTCAGTCAAAAGATAATCTGAAGCAAAAGAAGGTAGATAATATCAGCAACACTCGAAGTAGGCGATTTTAATTAGTACAATACGCTAAAGCCATTTAAATTATTTGGCATGTTATTTTTATTTTTAGATGGATCTAAATTATCGGTTTATTACATCAAACGATATCCAGAAACTAATACTGAATATTTCAGAAGGTACAAAATATTCTGGTGTTTTTGTATTAAATATATTTACAATACAAAACTTTATTGTTTGTACATATCAGGCTGACTACTGGTGCCAATCTCTTTTAAACCATTTAAAATATTAGTTCAATAATCATTGCGTTTGTTTAACAAACAGAATAAAACAATAAGAATACTTTATGATTTGTTTAACGTTATGTTCGTTTAGTCTGGTCAGACTATGTTAGACTTACTTCTGTATGATACTAAGAATAAGTTAAAAGTGAAGTAATGTCCGCAGCGCTGACATCAGTTTCATAAATGCCTAACAAATGTTGCACAATAACGAACTCAGTAAGTTTAGTTTGGGCAAATCCTATATATTGAGTTATTTTGGATTCTTTCAGTTCAACATGTAATTAATCTCCAGTTTAGTAAGTAAGGCAAGAAACCTGTTGAACAAAAAACAACTTTGCTTTCTATGATGATATTTTACAGACAGAAAAGCTGAATATCGATTATGATATATGCTGGATAATCTTTGGTTTCGTTGAAAAAGGAAAAAGTATATTTTTGTACTGTGTTCATTCATTTGTAAATGCGTAATGCACACTCATTGCTCATATGTGTTTTGTTTTATTATTTTATAAGAGATTTTTTCGTAATTAGAAGGTAAGTAGCTCATGGCATCTAAGACTTTAGGAGAGTTGGTAATCATTTTATAGACTTTAGGATCAAAATTTGACTGTACAGAATTGAATGAGTTAAGTATTGAGTAAATGGATTATAAAGGAAATTTATTCCTTAAAGAAGTGACTTCCCAGAAGTCGCGAAACTTCAGAAATTTGTTTTCCCACTTCACTAAGACTCTACAAATCTATTTTCTTTATAGGACTTAAAGGTTAATGGAAGAAGAGTGGTTTTTTGAAAGTTTTCAGTACTGTAGGTAGTAATCCAGTAAAAGTCTATTTTAAGACTAAAGCAGGAAACACATGTGTTCTATGCTTCTATTTGTAAAATAAATACTAAAATATAACTCTATTGAGGTGTAATTCTGTACACATTATATCTATAAATCATCCACCTGTACATACCTGTGTCATAAACAATACAAGACTATGGCAAACAGTGTCATTCTTTTCGCTGTTATTAAGTTTATTAGTACAAAACATGTTTCTGTTTTATTCCGATCATCTAAACACAAATTTTTAACATGTGTACAAATAACACGTAACAAAGTGACTATTGAATTGTTCCAGCATTATTCATCAGCTTTCAAAAAATGGCTATGCTAATCAGTTGCACTTAAACAAGAATGAATACAGGCAGCTTTGGAAATATTCAGGGACTATGTGGTAGCTGACTGATTAGTAATCTATCACAAGAACTCCAGGAAGTTTATGTTGAATTGATTGGTAACAAACTCGGCATCCTAATGAGCGCCTACATGTTGTAAGTTACTGAAAAGACAAGTTCTCACAGAATTATAAGCATTTATTTCTTTTGAAGTTGGACAAAGAGGAAGAAGATTAATATCCACGCTATCATGATTATGTTCAGCTCAGCAGTTAGGCAATGGCAAATGTTTTCGTGAATTAGTGGTACAAAACGCAGCGTAAGGGAATGCACAACAAACACTGACAATAAAATTTAAATTCGTAAAGCTGACAGATTGTAAGTAAGGCACCTTAATCTGTGCAGTGGATGAAGTTTTTGAAACTAAGTAAGAAAACCAGAATATTCTCACCTTTATTATTAGTAAACTACTTCATACCTCTGCACATCTAGCTGTAAGCCATCAAAATATGTTCATTAACCATGATATTATTCGTTACTTATAAAACTTGTTTTGAACTGACTTAATGAAATTAGATATGTTGAAGTTTTATAGCTAAGGGATTTAGCGGCTGCAGTAGTAATGTTCACCAACTGCAAATGTGATCTCCAACCACTTTGGTTATTTCATGTTACTGCTTTCCGTCCTGACTGAATGTTAATATTTCACCCTTCTGAGTGTGAACAGGGAAAGACGAAACTCTGTATTTTCAGATTTCAAACCAAAATGTCAAATGTCTTCAACGGTTACCTTACAGTATTATAATCTTGAATTCAACAATTTTCTTAAAAATTTAACTGACAGTATTTAATGTAATTAGAATTGAGATTATATTCAAAATCCTCATCTGCTTTTTCTACTTTATATCTTGTCATCATACTTGTAGGCGTACCCAGCTCATAAATGACTGAACTGACCGTTTTCCCTTCATATTTATAGTTTCATTGACTACACAGAGTTTGTCAGAGTACAGTCTTCAATAAGGAGTATGGCTTCGATAAGACAATATTGAACTGATCACCGATCATATGAATACTAAACTCAGGTAACCAAATGTATGAATAATTGTAACATAAAACTTCTCAGCTTCCTTTAAATCAAATTGCAGCCTAACATAAGTTGAAACTAAGATGACATTCGTATGAACTCGCTCAATAAATTTAAAGGTAACTTAAAGATGGGATAGGTGCTACATGGCATGCGATGCATATTTACGTATCAGTGAATAAGGCTTTCGATCTGTTATGACAACTTATTTTTCCACATTCAACTTTATCAAATCCTTCATTATCTGAGTACATTTTTGACTAGCCAAATGAGGGTTGAAACATTTATTGACGGTTACATGATAAGCATTCGTAATCACCATAACATAGCTAATTCACTTAACATATAAAGTACGGAGTAGAAATATGACATAGTAGAGAAATCAGTAGGTGACGTAAATCATTTTTAAAGATTATCGAGAAGTGTTTACTACCAAAAGGTCAAATGGCGATGTACATGCGGAGCTTGAAGTGAGTGTTACGTTTACCAGATTGCCCTCATATACTATTTGTCAAATCCATAGTATTAATTTCTGCTGCAGTCTACCCTTCTTTAACAACCTGAAAATGATTCCCAGACTATTTAGATACCACTTTCGAAAATATGGTCTGACTCACATGCCTGAACACGAAAAATGACGCTCATATTCATAATGTAAAGCATGAAAAAACAGCAGGTGAGTTGTCTTACCATATGAAAGTGTCCACTTCTCTACAGAATTACTTT